TGTTGTTTATTCTTCTCCTTTAAAAACGAGGTATAAATCTGATTATATAGTCTTGAAAACTCTACAACAAACTCGTGCTGCTACATCAAACTTCCGCAGTTAATGAGATGATCGAACGAACGATGCGGAGGTGTTTCGTGGACCCTCTGTGTAAAACGGTCAGCTAATGAATATGAATATGATATTCATTGTGTATCATATCGGTGGTTCGTGCTTCGACACTGTCATGCGACATCTGTGTAACGTTTCGTGTCACCAGGCATTGTACGTGAACGTCAAATGCCAATTTTTGATGCATTACGAAAACCTGTGCATCAGCTGATGAACACCTGATCGCCGATTAACGAAATATTAGAAAAACGATGCAACGACTCATAGCCTGACTAGATGACTACGAGCCTGATGATGAATGATCCGATTTCAATAGGCATCACCTGTTGGAAGTTTTTGCAGAAACAAAGCAATTCTTAAGTAAGCAAACCACACGAATACGCGATCTTCTCAAAGCCGCCGAATTCTAATTACATTTATCGCTTCAACTATATGGCCATTGGCCTAATCGGCAAGGTGATGATGGGTGCCCAGAGATGACAAAAAATGCATAACTGATGCAATTACATATTTCACAGCGCAAAGCACAGCTTAGTTGGAAGCGGCGCCTTTTAAACACGTCACTGCTAGATGGTACTTGAACATCTACAGTAACAGACACGTCACATCATTTTCTCTGCTAGAGCCGTCAGACATTTATCATCGACAATCATTTAACAACATCTGGTAACCGTTGTACATCACGTATAAATATCGACACACGTTACTTCGGATTACGAACATATTTGACGTTTATCTCCTAATGATCAACACCGACTGATGACTGGTGGCTTGCTACAGTAAACCGTAATCATAGTTACAGTAAGCCGTATACCGTTGCAGTGATAACTGATGGTTTGGCTTGGCTTAACACTGTCGAGCATAACACGTTAATCTATTAAACCACGTAGTAGATACGTTAATCAATGGCACCGGTTCTCTACTGCGCTCTTTGTAATGTAGCATCAGTCAAAGTAGATGAAAATCAAAAGCTGCTGTGCTCGCATCAGACAAAAGTCTAAAACTTACCCGAAGCTAAGCTTAAATGAAACATCTGATCAACGAACATCGTCGAATAACGGTCGTCAGATAAAACGCGATGGTAAACTGAATTAATGAAAAGCACTGCACGCGTAGCGGTTCAAAATTAAAATCAAAACAAAGCATATCACAAAGACCATCGAAACCAAACGATACGAAGGTTTTCACGAAGATCACATGCTCGGCTACCGTAGAAAAACAATCATCAAATGGTACGTAGTCAGGCATTTGTCACCAACGAAACTGTGCCATGATTCGGATGACAATTACTATGATTATCTGTACCGGTCGTGTCTCTCTTTGACAGATCGATGAAAACGGAACACGCCGATTTGTCAGGCTAGTGTTCAAATAACTTTTGCCAATAGCTGCTGTAATTGCTGTGTCTGTATTAGCTTTCAATTAGGCTGATGCAGTTCATGACGCGATGACAATGAATAGGTCTGAATTTTTGATTTCTCGATAGCATGTTCGAACTGTTATCATTTTGACGTATAAAAAAATAGTAACTGCTGCAGTCAGGAGCTCGAAACACATGTCAGTTGTTTCGTATTTCAAAAGACAAAGCCATTCATGAGACGCTGAATGACTGTTGAAAAATTAGTTAATAGTAGCTTTAAGTACGTGAGCGACACTTTGTCTATTTTCTCGAATAGCTGCCATTTGCAAACGCAATAATCCGGGCATAGAGACATCTAAACGACAAGTTAATTTCTTTGAAATTGACGTCACTGCTCTTTACAGTAAAACTGCTCGATTGATAACATAAGTCCTTTATGAATTTTGATCTCGTTCCGTCCCGAAAATGAATAAAAACAAGAACAAGGACAAGAAGCAAGAATGAAGAGGAAGAAGAGCTACAGAAAAAAACTTTCGTGAAGCATGAACAAAAAAGAAGATGGATAGGCAAAAAGAAACGAGGAAATCGTAAAAAAAGGAAATTAAATGAGAAGAAGATGAACAAGGAAGCGAAGAAAAAGCAGAAGAAGATTGATTGCTTTAAATTGATTTTAATGGACAGCACTATAACCTGTGCCATTAATGACCGACCACGTGAACTATTCTACTTGAACAAAATTACCATACAAACATGAAATATGGAACAATGACAAAGCAAAATCTAGTTCACAACAGCCAGAAAAGTCTCTATCAGCTTGATTTCAACAAGTGAACATATAAAAGACACTCCAGTTTAGGAAATCGGCGTACGTTCTACGTCGGACTGGATTAGAGGACCAATTTCCCGGTAGTCACCGGATTTTCTCAACCTCATTATCAAACTCCTCTACGACATCTAACATTTCATGACTTGGTGTTTCTCTGAACTACCGCTTTCTTTGGCTGCATCGACTACGTGCGTTATTAAATGCTCTTGTCATATACAGGTTGAATACTGCCTTTAATGGGACAAGTAGCCGAAGCGATTGCCTGAACTGAATTTGGCATACACTCCGCAACCACGATGATACCAAGAAATAATTGTTCACAGTGGGGAGTCACCGAAGAGCTGCACAAGAAAAACAAATAAGACATTAAACTTTTGCTATTAAACTATACTTAATGAGAGGAACCCTAAACAAGAAGCAACACATGAATGTAAAAAACAGCAACATATGTAGGAAGAGTTGTAAGTCATCATTCTATGTCTAGAAAAAGTCTTATTAGCATTGTATTTATTAACTGAACATAGCAGATAGTTTATTTTAAAAATTAATGGTTACAATCATAGCATTCTCCAATATTACCTCTTTCGGCCAGATTATAACCTTAATTTCACAAGTCAAAGAAACTGAAATATAATATCATTATCTTTCAAAGTGCATTCATCTCCATGCGTCTGAAAATGCATCAAGTAAAAAAGGCATCACCGATTTGTTACCATGCAACAGATTATCAGCTTAAAAACAGGGCCGTTTACGAAATGAACTGTAAACGGTGATGAAAGAAAGGTTTATATTCATATGACAAACAACCATCTAAAGGCAAATCCATAAGCATATGCAGCAGTTTCGCAACACGGAGATAAAGAAAATGCTGCTATTGAAAAGCATTCTGCTGGCAAACTGTACGGTATTTATGAGAACGTGTATATCTTATAACCGAAGACGGTGACAACGCCACTGCCGATGTGATGACACTCGAATCTGATGTCTTTAAAGCAGGTGAAAAACGCCAGTAAACGAGGAATTAATATTCCTTCGAACATTTTCCATTTAGCTGAAATCTTATCCTCAATAATCTGATTTTCTTCCCGCAACACGTTCACAAATGGTCAAAGTGCACAGGCACCGCTAAACAAACAAACTGTCTGAAAAGACGAATCAACAAGCACTGATTCTTCAATGCTGCACTGACTTTATGAAAAACTCGTTAATCTATACCTTAACTTTAAAAGCATATCCCTGGCTTAAAAACATCACAATAGCTGCAGAACCACACAACCAACTGTGGAAATCAGCCGGAACAAAGCCCGTGAGAGACGCGCCGAAACACTGATACTGGTCAATCATCCGACTGATCAACATGTTTGTTTGCGCCGTGTAAAAACAAACTGTTTATTGTATATTTTTAGTTTCAGCTATGATTGGGAATAAAATAGCATAGACAAAACACTGAATCTTGTTTCATTGATTTTTCTCGTTTTTGCTATATCCATTTTTCTGAAAACAGATTTTTCTTGGTGCCATAATTGATATCCAGAAACCTACCGCAACGGGCTTTCACTGACTTAGAAATCTCGATACTGAGTTGCTAATCATCTCCCTTTAACCATACGTCAGAAGAAGATCAGACTTTTTGCTTATGTCATTTCATTTCGGTACAATGCTCTAGTTATTTAGTTGATGACCTCTGCTATTCGAAAGTACGATATCTCCCTGTGTATTATTAATTAAAGCTAAACAACGAACGTCAGTGCTAGTCTCGTACACCTCAACTGATATTTTTTTTCGCATGATTCCATCCGCCTCTTCTTTTATCCATATCACTAAGAGCCTGAGTTCATGTCTTTTGTGACTGAACAACAAATGTTGGCGGAATCTGAGACGTTACAAACCGGTACCTTATGAATAATATTTTGATAAAAAATTTTTTTCACGCAACTAACGTTTTGGATCGACCATGGTACGTTTTTTGACTTCATTCGCACCATATCACCTACAGGTACTTATAATTATATTGTGTTATTTAAAGATTATTAACTATACTCACTTACTAAACATATCCTGTATGATGCTCG